CTACTGTTGTTAAAGCTTTGCTCTGACGTGCAGCGGGAGGAGGGAGGAAATGATCCCGACGTAACTTTTCTACAGCGGGAGGGGGACATTTTGAGGATTTATTCTCTCTATACGTGTTTTAACTATATTTCTACATTATGTTTCAAATTCCTTCTGCTCAGTTGTCTCTGCACTCGCAGCCCTGTTGACACAGGTATGATGATGTAATTGATGACAGGACGGTGGAGGGTAAATTTCTACTCTAGGCCAACTTCATACTGTTTCTACCGTCTGTCGCATATACTGCGCTGCCCTACATTGCCGTGTTGGAACTTACCGATAGTGCTTTCAGCTGATTCCACATGAAATATGACATTTTGGGTATTGTCATYGCTCTTTTCACATCTTTTTAGTGTAAAAGTGTCTTAAAACTGTAGAGTGTTGTTATTAGAGCCATTTTCAGACAAACTACACTTGTGGAAAAAAATGTGACTTTATTATTGAGATATAAAAAATATTATTTATTTAACCGTTATTTCAACAAGCAAAACATTAAGAACAGTTTCTTATTTACAATGGAGGAAACTCAGGGAAACTCCACTCAGAAAGACCCCAGGCTCGACCTGGGGCTTGAACCCAAGATGTTCTTACAGTAGCAACAATGCTAACTACTAACCCATTGTAATATCTGCCATTAAAAGAAAAGTGATGCTATAAATACAGTATATCAACTCCATAACACTAAAGCACGCTTATTACTATTCTGCCAATACTGTTTTATTTTGATGACAGTTTTATATTTTCTACTCCCCAGCAGTAATTTACCATGGTGACACTCATGAGGCATTGGTAGCAGCTTTCATGCGTCTTTTAATCTTTGTCCTTTAACAGTTTAGGTAGCAAAGCATCAACATTTTGTCAGCATGGGTTTATTACCAAAGTAAATAAATGCCAAATTATGATTGGGTGTTATGAAATAAGTTGATGTACCGGAATGTTGGAAATTTAAGCAGGAGCTGCACTGACAACCTGCAGATTGTTTTCAGGAATGTTCTAGCTTTATTTACTGTTTATTGTTGTTTTTGGTATCTACTATGTGCAAACTGTGCATATAATGTTAGTTATTAATTGCTATAGTGATTAAAGGCACAACCCTTACTGAGATTAATGAGTCATTGGTTGTACGAGTAGTGATTATTGTTTCTGTTGGGTTTAACTTTTTTTTTTGTTTTCACTTTGAGGGAAAAGCAGAACAACTGACTGTATAACCGTTGTCTTCAAACAGCTAAAAATATGAAAAAAACTCACCATGTCCTAATTGATTCAACATCCAGTTGTGTTGGAATGAGAAATGACCCAATACCCAGTCATTTCCCAATTCATGTTTTCATTCTCATGACTGAAACACCTCGGTGAGCCAGACAAACAAAGATCCTAACAACCCCCTGGAGGAAATGTCGTGAGATTAATCTGCTTGTGAACTTGGTTTGTATTAACAAAGCATCTCATACAATTTAATTTGCACGCTGAGCCCATTGTTGAAGATTGTTTGTTTGGTACATTTGCCAAAAACAAAAGAACCACTAAAATCTGACGTCACTCTATGTTTGTTTACATTTTGTGAAGTAGGAAGGCAATGAAGTATATTTACCGTGATTTTGGGTAAATAAACCTCATTGTAGGAAGGTGCACTGTCTTCCTCAGACGTTTTTGTGTCGATTCTTTCAGTAGTTCTTGGTGCAGCGCCACCACAGGCAAGGGAGCGAACAGGTTGTTTGCAGGGTCTAGTTTGTTTGACAAAGTGCAGCGTGAATGTGAACCACACCAGCTAAAAATGGAAGCAAATCTGACCGAGCCTACTGGACTATCAGGTGTGAATACAACCTGAGAAGATAATCATAAACACAGCCTTTTGCAAATTATCACATCAAAACCCCATCTCAAATC